AGCGGTTTCATGTAGATGTCATCTTTCTCTTTAATTAGTTTACTATAATACTAATAGATTTTTTGAGTGGGTAATATGATATCTACAGTGTTCGAAATACACACAAGTGAGAACAAACTTACACAGATACTTACAATCACAGCAATGCGTGGATTCAAATGTTTCAGTGCAGCAGCGGAGCCTGCTAACAATCCACACTGAGCCCCTGCTGGGAGTATCACTGCATCCAGTTTTGGCACTTGCTCATAGATTTCCAGTCCCGTGGTTCCCAAGCCTGACAAATAGATGGCATTGTCCTGTCTGCAAAAGCAAGCAGAAAGACACAAATAAGATTTGCTCATCAGCAAGACACATGAATCATATCTTTCTAAAATGTATTAAAAGTTATGCAATGTGTGCATGCTGTCAATTTTTTAAGGCTATGAAACATCTTAAATATTTGATGCATTTTTTCATACTAGGGAAATATCAGTATCATTTATATTTTTGTATATTTTGTTGATGAGTGAAAAAGTGGGGCAATGATATATGCTACTGCCAACTCTCAATATACACAGAAAACACTGGAATGGCTGACACCCGTATTCGAAAATTAAGTACTGGTTCCTCTTTTATAACGTTCTAGAGATACTCAATTTTAAAAATAGAACTCTTATTGCTTACACTGATAGGTTCTCAGTATGTGAATTAGTCAGTGAAGGGGCTAACAACATTAAAAATGAAATATCATATCTCATATTGTTTTCCATTATTGTGGGGGAATATATTACTTTACTTTTTAAAAAATTTAAAAAGTAAAGTAATATATTATTACTTTAATATTATTTAGATAATGACTCGGATTCTAATCTCTGCAGGGTGGGGTTCTCATCCTCAAAGAAATCACACATTGTGAGTTATTACTTTACCAGGTCAACCCTCCAAACCTTCAGCGGGGTGAACTTCAGAAAAGTTCTCTCCCATCCTGGATTATGACAACATTATATTGATGGCTATGGGGCTATTTCCTGGAGACATGTGGTATCTGTATTCAGTCCTCTCATAGCTCATAATATGATGTGTTATTTTTATAATGGAGCCAAAAAACCCTGAAATTCAGGGAAACTACTTAGAAGTCAGTCATATTTTATAAGATGCAGCTAGTAATTATTTTATTCTGGATGTCTCCATGATACAGTGAAGCATTAACTGTGTTCCATCTGCATTATATCAACATGATCCTTTATTTCCATTTTCCTATTCCTTTGTGGTGAATTGAGCTCACAGGACGTCAATACTTTCTGCTTCACCTAGTTCTCTATATCTACACTGATAATCATTAACTCTCTGGTCAATACAAGGCTTTATTGGATATTTTGTTCAGACATTAGCTTTTTTCATACTTTACTAATTTTTCATATAGCTTATTCAAACTTTTCAAGTTCTCATTCTGTACAGCAGCTGATAGACTTGTTACACTAACCTGAATGAAGACCACCAGAGAATGACCATCAGCAACAAAAAAATCAA